AAATGATGCCACATATCTCATCAAATGTGATGCATATGGCTCAAAAGATGCCCTAAGAAATTCAACTTTATTGGTCCCTATTAGGGACAAGACTCTATCATACCCTTTTTGAACAATCATATAACCTTTACAGAGTTAGATTCGTTTTATTTCTTTAGGAGGTGAGTCATAAAATCAAAGATTACCAATGAAAAATAAAGAATTATCTACTTTGCATTAATATGGAGGTAATAAAAGCATTATTTTATTTAGCTATAATAATACCATCAATAATATTTGACATCTCAGCCATGCTAATAATGCCCTCCTACTTTGCATTTAATATGGAGGAAACTATTTATATTTTACCTTTGAAATACTAATGGTCTTCTAAAGTATAGGAATTAATGACACATCCATTTATACCATTGGAGATTAATATTAATGTAATCTAGGTTATTCAAGATAGCAAATATTATATCAAGTATTTCTCAAGATTTTATTTAAAATTTTGTGCTTAATTTTATAAAAGGATAATGAGTAGATTTCTATCACAATCTAACTTATAAAATCACAGACTATATAGGTTCCATCATGTTGGATTGCAACAGACAAATCATAAGACCTAGTTTTGAAAAATAATTTTAAAATTTTTCTTTTAAATTCTTGCTCAAAACAAACCGAAGACCGCATAGCTACTAGTAACATCGAGTGCTATAAAAAACTCATTCACAAAATATATTTTTTTCATTTATCATCAAAATGTATATAAAACTACAGTGCATCACTACAAATAGAACAGTAAAAATTAATCATAATTGTGCAAAATCAAAAGGAATAAATACATCTACATACTCATATTAAAACTTTAAACACAATGCACTAGCTAACACAGCTCAGCACACAATATTTTTTCCAATCTAATTTCAAAATAATTCCAATATTTAAACATTTTAATTTTATTGAAACAAAATAGATCATAGTGTTGAGCAGAATTGTAAGTGCAATCATCATAAATTTAAATAATAATAATAAATTTTTGGCCCCACTTATTTTATACATGTACGTGTAAGAGATATTCTATTCTTGCCCCATATATTTAAGTATTATAAGAAAGAAAAGGCATACAGTTATTTGTGGTATTTTTTTTGTATTCAGTCCTATAGGCTAATTCTACATGAATATTTCTCTATCACAAGTCATTCAAGTAAGGTGGCTTTCATATCAAAAGTTGTCACTTCTTATCTTTTAGCATACCATATCATATCAATGTGTCTCTTTATGCCTCTTTTTTATATTATTATTTTAAAGAAAAGTCGGTATGCCCATCCTCCTATAAAGGTAACTTGCATTAACCAAACTGAATCAATTACTCATATATGGCCAGCCTTTCTTACGTACATATATTTCATAGCATATGTAACACACTCAATGCTCAGTTCACTATATCATCTTAATGCATGTAAAATTTATAGATGAACCAAAATTAGTGAAATTTATGAACAAATGTAGTGTGTTCTTTTTCACATGTATGTATTCAATATAACCAAATTATAATAATTATGCATGTCATAAAAGTATAAAAAGTAATTTTAATAATTAATTCACAAAGTTTTAAATTTATCCAAATTACCCAAATTATGATATTTCCCCCCAAACTATAAATATACATGATGAAAATTCAATACACTCCTCTCAAAAGGCTTATATCTTGATGATATATATCATATACTAAAAGTCATACGATACAAAAGTATTCTCATTTTTCGATTATGAAAATACATATTTGATCAAAAAAAATCTCAAAAAAATCAAATTATTAAAATCAGAAATAGGATAATGATTTCTTATTATAAGACGAGAGCAAATCTCTCGATAGATCTGATTAACAAAAATAGCTCAACAACTTCCTATAGGTGTCAATATCTTAAGGATATGCACCAGTGCTAAAAATTTACGAAAAAATTATTATAATTGAAACAAAATAATATCTGTCTTATCACAAAGATGATTTTCAAATTTGATTTATAATGACTTCTGAAAATATATTTGACTGGATTAAAATTTGGATTATTACAAGGAATGAATAAAGTACTTGAACTTTGGAGTTTTGAGAATCTTATTAATCATGTGTGCTAGTATTAATCCCCTTATAAGCTTAATTTGACCAATAATAAACCTTAGCTAATGGATTTCCTAATGGCTAAGCTTATTACGAAGGTTAGTTCAATGCTTTAAGAATTGAATTGAATCAATTAGATCAATTAATTTTGCTATTTAACAGAGTTTGGCCGATTTTGACTCCAGTTGTTCCAAATGGGCCAGTTAACACATTTGGGAAAATTGATTCATTTCAGTGGGTTTAATTGGTTGGACCAAGTTAAGATAATTTTTAACATTCCAATCTAGAATCACTCTAAATGTTATAACTCAATTTAGCCAATTGGTTGAGTTAAACCACTTGTGAACATGGATATCTCTATTCGGACTCAGCCATTTGATTTAATTGACCAACTTGGAGATTTTAAATTGAGCAAAACCACTTCTCTCCTTAACAACCTTTTCTAGAACATCTATTAAAAAATAGCTTAATTTTTTTAATTGATTAAGCTAATTCACTTGGGAAAATAATTTCCCTCTAATGAAAAATTTGAACTTATTTGACCAAATATGGTCAAACCAATGGTCAAATTGATTTGAATAACATTGGGCCATGTTACATTAGTCCTATGTAAGCTTTATGTTCAATCGATTGAACCAATTTGATGTTAATGGTCCATTTGGTACAATTGGTCCATTAGGGTTCAGAATGAATTAGTTTATTTAAGCTCAATTGATCCAAATGGATGGGTTAATAAGTTATTTGAGGACATTTTCTATATGTAGAAGCCTTATGTTCATTTATGTTAATTAAATTGAAGTATGTAGATGGTTTTATTAATTTAAAACCATTATGGGTTTATGTTATCACACTTGGCTTTAGTTGACCAATTCTCCAATCCATGCGAAAATTGATTTTGTTCTTATGAATGGACTTAGAGAGGATGCAATCAAATAATTAATGATGATTGATCCCACAAATTTGATGGATTTGAGTTAAATTGGTCAATATGGTTAAGCTGATAAGGCTAAATTAATAAATTCACCTATCCAAAGGTTTAGCCAATAAGAGCTCTTCTAATTTCAGAGTTGGATTTGATCCTAAACTATATAAAATCCTATTAGTTAAAGTTAAAGTTCAAGAAAAATCTAGCCTATTCTAAGGGTCAACTATGATCAAGTCATATGTTATTGAATGATTCAAACTTATTAGAAGAAGTTTGGCTAAGTAATAGAATCATTTATCTATATATCAATAATTGTACCTATATGATTGGAATGTTCAATAGTGGTTTCTAAATATGGATCAAACTAATGCATATTGTGTATGCTAGTAATTGATAAAATGGGAAGAAAAATGGAGGCCCAAGCCATTGATTGTACCTATTAAGGTTAAGCATAGAAAATGTCTAGGTTAAGATTATTTAAGAATAGCCATTGATTGTATGATCCTATGGTCACTTTATGTCTAGGGCATCCTATAGTCATTCTAAGTTGACTTTTATTTAACCCAATTTAAAATTGATTTTGAAACTCTTCGCTTGATTGAGTTGTGAAGAGATCTTATGAAATGATCTTGGATTGTAGATTGAAATTTCAAAGATGAGTGGTTCAAAAAAATATTAGGAGTACACTAGAAATTCTAGCAAGAAGCGTGATTTGTTCAAGTATTCACCAAGTGAAGCTTTGAAGAAAGTTTTATCATCTCACTTGAAGTGGGTGAATTGACCTGTCAACATTGTATTAAGATTTGTTGATTCCAACAGACATATAGTTCATATAATATCTTCATCCTCTTTCACTCCTAGAGCTTAGATAAGGATAAAGTTTATAAGCAAGCCCGAGCTCTTCATCAAGTCTCCTATCTAAGTTTACATAGTGGCATCTTAAAATAATTATATATCAACTTTGTCAAGCTATTCTTAAAGGAAAAAAAATACAAAGCCTCTATTCGAAAGAGTTGTATACAGCTTAACATCTTGCCCAATGATTCTCATTCATATTTCTAACTCTAACAATGTCTAATAAACTCTCAATGAGTCAATGGAATAACATAAGTTAGCTTACAAATTTTACATTTCTCTTTTATAAATTTGTTACTTATATCTCTTCATATATTACATTATAAACTGTCTTTTATTAAAAAATATATAAATATATATTTTATATTATCTCACTATCTAATTCAACACATTCTCTTAGCAAAATATCTCGATATATATTCATATTTAAAATTTTAGAGACTTATAATATTTTTTTTTGCATTAAAATAGTCATTTGGAATCGGGTTTCATAATCTTTGCCATTTTGTAACTCTCTATTTTTGTGGTGCATTCATCTCCACTTTTTAGGGTATTATTTAATTTTAATTTTTTGATCTGTTTTGTTGAGATTGAACTGATAAATAATTAGGTCCTTTGTGGTTTAATGTCCCATATGCAGTATAGGTTGACCTTTTTATCAATTTTGTGTTGCTATCTCTTCCTTCCAGTCCTTCCAGCCCTTCCAGCGTGTATTTCTTCACAAATTTTCTCCCTGACACATGATCAGATTTTGCCACACCAATAATGTGACTACTTTGAAATTATGCTCCTTCACATTTAAGTCTTGCTAACTCCTCACCTCCACTTATTCTTTTACTTTCTTCAAGTTCACAGTTTTTTTTTTTTTGCAGTTTAAATCTTTAATTGGACCAATTTTTTTACCATTTGACTTTAGTTTTTAAAAAATTATTTTTAATTTATCCTCGATTCTTCATTCTAAAAAAATTAAATAAAAATAAACAAAAAAATTCTAACAGTGCTAGCTTTCCTCCTCCACTCTTTTTTCTCTCTCTTTCAGCACGTCCATAATTTAATAATCCGGAACTTGGCGTGCAGCGGAAGCGATCATTATTTAAAAGGGCTTTCGAGAGTGAACTCTCCGAATTTATTGGTCAAAATACTAAATTCAGAAGTCCTGGGTTTTGCCCTTTACTGTTTTCACACGTCCTTGCCTCTTGCTTTGGAGAGAGAACAGCTCCCCAGTTCCCAGCCCCGCCCTAAAAATGTTAACTTCGAAATCCCAAATTACGGTTGCCACCGTCACAATTTTTGCTTATAAAAGTTCCTTTCGCACACATGGCTTCCTCCAGGGAAAGTTCGCCCTTTACCGTTAAATTTTCTTTGATCTTGTCATAATTATTTTGATAAAAGGAAAGATTGCGTCTTGTTGCTGCACGAAAGGTAGTTAAGAAGGCACGAGAATAGGCTAGTGAGGCTGAGTGCCAAGCTAGCCAGACACACGCAGAGAGAGAGAGAGAGAGAGAGAGAGAAAGGTGTTGATGGTGCTTTGGCTGCAATGTCGCAGGAGCATCTGAGCCGCCCTGAGTTGCAAGGTTTCCAGGTCTGTTCGCCGCTCCACTCTCCCAGGCAGGAGGAATTGCTTGTCATTGAGGTCTCCGACAAAGTGCGCCAGGAAGACACCAAGACAAAGTCTGCTAATGCTGTCCAGTCTGCAGCTTCAGAGATGGAATTTCCCAACGGGAAGTTGGAAGAAGAGGGAGTTGCAGGGGAAAGAGCAGAGCATGGTGGAAGCGAGCGTGGTGAAGGGGATGAGAAGCCTGCGCCACCACTGCCGGCGGTAGGCTGCTTTGAGCTATTCCGATTTTCCGATGGGCTAGACTACGTGCTGATGGCTATTGGCACCGCCGGAGCCATCATTCACGGCTGCTCCCTCCCGGTGTTCCTCCGATTCTTCGCAGATCTTGTCGATTCCTTCGGTTCTAACGCCAACAACCCCGATACAATGGTTCGAGAAGTCATCAAGGTTTGCCATTTCCGACTCCTTCGTTTTAACCCAATTGTTAATCATCGAAATTAACCATTTTTTTTTTTAATTTTGCAGTATTCCTTCTACTTTCTAGTCGTTGGTGCTGCCATTTGGGTGTCTTCTTGGGCTGGTAAACTTCTTCAACTTTCAATTGCGTTTGATTTATGTTGCCTAAATGTATAGCTGTAACAGTGCAGAAATTGTTTAAACCGTGAAACAGAGATTTCTTGCTGGATGTGGACGGGGGAGCGACAGTCTACGAAGATGAGAATAAAATATTTGGAGTCGGCGCTTAACCAAGACATTCGCTATTTTGACACCGAGGTCCGCACCTCGGACGTCGTCTTCGCCATCAATGCCGATGCAGTCATCGTTCAGGACGCCATCAGCGAGAAGCTTGGGAACTTGATTCACTACTTGGCTACTCTTGTATCCGGCTTTGTCATCGGTTTCACCGCTGTGTGGCAGCTGGCCCTAGTCACACTAGCAGTGGTTCCCCTCATCGCCGTGATCGGCGGCATCCATACCACAACGTTGGCCAAGCTCACTTCCAAAAGCCAAGACGCGCTCTCTCAGGCCAGCAACATAGCAGATATGTCACTGTCGCAGATCCGTACGGTTCAGTCGTTCGGCGGTGAGTCGAGGGCTCTCCAGGCCTACTCGGAGGCGCTGAAGGTGGCGCAGAGGATTGGCTATCGAATTGGCTTCGCAAAAGGCATCGGACTTGGCGCCACCTACTTCACCGTCTTCTGCTGCTACGCTCTCCTCCTCTGGTGTGGCGGCCACCTCGTGCGCCATCGCCACGCAAACGGCGGCTTAGCCATCGCCACCATGTTTGCGGTCATGATCGGAGGACTGTAAGTTCAGCAAAGCTCAATAAAGTTCCTTCCTTTCTTCTGTTCCTCAAACTTATTAGCATAACAAAAATACCCTCCTTTGCAGGGCTCTAGGGCAGTCGGTTCCAAGCTTATCCTCGCTTGCCAAGGCCAGAGTTGCCGCAGCCAAGATACACAAGACAATCGACCATCGGCCGGATATCGACCGCAACGCAGAAGCTGGGACGGAGCTCGAGTCAGTCGCCGGTCACATTGAGCTTAAAAACGTCGACTTTTCCTACCCTGCCCGGCCGGAGGCCCAAATCCTGCGGAATTTCTCGCTCAGCGTCGCCTCTGGAAAGACACTGGCTCTAGTCGGAAGCAGCGGCTCTGGTAAGAGCACGGTCGTGTCGCTTATAGAAAGATTCTACGATCCCAACTCAGGTGTGTTATCTAAAATTTTAATAGCAAATGAGGCTCTTTGCTTGTTTCAATCGTCATTAATTATTTGTTGTTTATGACAGGGCAAGTGCTGCTCGACGGCAATGACATAAAGGATCTGAAGCTGAGATGGTTCAGAGAGCAGATCGGTCTGGTAAGCCAAGAGCCAGCTCTGTTCGCCACCTCCATCCGAGAAAATCTCCTTTTGGGTAGGGCGGATGCTACTCAGGTAGAGATAGAAGAAGCTGCTAGGGTGGCCAACGCCCATTCCTTCATCATAAAGCTTCCGGACGGCTACGATTCCCAGGTCCGTTCTTCCTCCTCTCTCTGCCCCTCCTTCCAGTATCTATTTCCGGGTTACATTGCCGTCATCATTTCTACGTGCCTTTCCTGTCCCGCTTTTTTTAGACTGGTTTATCACTGAATTAAGAACACCTTTCGCCTTCATCATCTCCTCTAACCCCATCTAAATGACATATTTCACGGCATCTACAACTGATTAAGATGGTTGATGGCTCCCTGCGAGTTTTCCACCAGTCCAAATTGAGTAACATGGAAAGATTCTTTTTTTCTTTCTCGGGTCCTTTTCTATTTCCAAATTCACAGGCCCACAACTAATGAACTTGAAGTTGACAAATTTTACGAAATTTTTCCACATTAATTCTTATTTATACGCATACAAACACGCAAAAAATTTATATGGAATAAACCGTACGTACTCGAATTTTGTGCTTGAAGAATTTACAGCCCCTTTGAACAATTATTATAGGTTAACTAATGTAGTCCATATAAGGCTTTTAAAATCGGACCGGTCAATGAACCGGAAGAAGAAGTGGTTAGCGGTCGGATGGTTCGACCGGGGTCGAACCGGATGACGTAATTAATATTTATTTTATTTAAATATTATAATAATTACACAATTACGTAACGAAGAACGCTCGCAGCCTATTTTTTATCAGATTTCTAAGCCAAGAAAACAAGAAGAAAACATTCAGATATACAAAAAATATGAACATTTTAAAAAATCTACCATTCAGTCATTCACCTCACACTACAAATCAGTGAAAACAAGAGAACTTTTTTTTTTTCATCAAACTTAGGCAACAGAGCTACCAGAAATTCTACAAAACCAAGTCAACCGTAAATTTAAAACTTCTAAACATCACGGTCGGACCGCCGGTTCGAGCGGTTCATCACCGGTTTTATGCGAAACCGGTTATAACTTGAACCGTAACCAGCCGGCCGGCCGGTTCGCGGTTGAACCGGTTGAACCGGCCGGTCCGGTCCGATTTTAAAAGCCTTGGTCCATATAGTGCCGGATAAATAGGCAGGTATGAATATGTAATCATTTTAATTATTATTAATAATCAACTTTTATGATGAGAAATATTTTGTATTATGGTATACTATCACTTCCAAGATTTCTGCCTAACAACTTAGGTTTGATTTTAAACAAATTTTATTATTTTTTAAAATATACAATTTTTTAGTACAAAAATTTCTATGAAGCAAAAAAAATAAAAATATCAAAATCTATCTCAAACATAGGTTGGAGTAGCTCCAGTGTAAAATAAGATTAGAGAGAGTCGTCTTAGATCGTTTGGTGATCACATAAAACGACGGACTTCTGATGACCCGGTTAGAAAAATAGAGATATTAGATTTGACTTATGTTAAGAAAGGTAGAGGTAGACCTAAAAAGGCTTGATTAGAAAATATTAGAAATGACTTTTCTTTATTAGATTTAAACGAGATTTGACTTTTAACATGACACAATGGAGAAAAATGATTCATGTAGTCAACCCCTCATAGTGGAAAAAAGGCTTGATGTTGATGTTGATGTTCCTGCTATATCTCAAACAAAGCCTTAATTATAATACTTGAATCGTGGCTTCCATTTCTGTCACAATATGCCCAACTAAAGATAGGTCATCAACCCTAGGTCTAATGACCTAAGGCTAGTTCAACAATTTTTAGTGTGATTACTCATTGTAGTAGTCAGGCCATGATTTCAATCATTGTTCTTCACCTTCCTTATTATGCTCAATTAAAGATGGATCATCATATATCAGCTTAAGTTTAATTCAACTTCCTATAGTGTGAAATCATCTTAATTAAGAAATCATTTGGAATAGCTTTTTTATTGCTTTGTTTTTCAAACTGTAACAAAAAACAAACCGTAACCACAGTTCTATTTGACCATTTATGTTTTCAGAAATATATATAAAAAAGAAAGGTACTTTCTACAACTTTAAAAAGTTATTATCTCTATAATAATTTTGTAAAACAATAAGAAAATTACCCCAAACAAAATCTAAATGTAAGTGGAATGTATTAGTTTGTGGATATCACTCTTAGGAAGGTATTTAGGAGATGATGATCTAATTTTATATATTAAAAGCACCTAATAACTTAAAAACCTTACCAAATATGATATGGCCAACTAAAATTAGGCCATTAAACCTAATGTCTAAGATTAGTTCAACATCTATAACATAATAGTCATTTTGCATATGAAGAAGTGGAATGTGTTAGTCTAAAAGGTCCTAGTGCTCAACCAAAGTAATTATAAGATGATCTAATTAACTTTATACACAAAAAAGTGCATAAGAAAATCAACAATTGTACGCAACTCAACTTGGTTTGTTGGTTGAGAATTTTGGCTACTAATCAAGAGTACTTCGGTTCAAATCTTACGTATTTGATGTGTGTATGAATTTGTCTTAATTGACATAGATGTCCATTAAGAGAAGTTTTGATGCCTCCTGAATAATTCATTTTATAATTATTGATTTTGTAATGTCATAAATGATTAATATATGATTTTATTTAAATGGATGAATATTTTACTATATTCACATATGTTCACTAAATTCTAATATAAGTTAGTGACGTATGGGCATGGTTAAACCTTTGGTGGTGTCAAATCTATAATAACCTATGCCATGCTATCCCATCTCTTTGTTCTATGATGATCATGTCTACTTGCACATTCAGCCATTTCTTCTAAAATGAGGAAGAAAACAAATGTCACTATAAATTAATTTTTAATACGCATATATTTAAACTATTGTTAGTCAGAGTACCTAGAATTCTCTAGATTATTTGGATATGTCTGTTTTGTTGTGTCTAGTAGCCTTGCTGATATAATAAATTTTGGTGTTACAATCTTTAGGTTACATCATAGTGTTGTGATATAATGATTAATGCCTATCATCACTTCTTCTAAAACATCTCTAGGTGATGTTGTAGCAGCCCAAATTTGTATCCATCAAGATATTATCTATTTTGGCCTAATAGCCTCAGTATTTTATCTAGTTAGTATAATTTTCTAAGAGGTCACCCATTTTAGAAGTGCTCTTGTATGAGCGTGAATACTTTTAGAGTTTATAATGAAATTTCAATCATTACACTAAAAATTATCTCAATATTTAAAAGTTTAGTTTTATTTTCAGAAGGGATTTCACAATCTCTCTCATTTAGATAACTGGTGTCCTTGTGAATTTCCTTAGCCTAGAATCATCTACCAAGTAGATAAAAGCACTAAGTTCTATTCTTCGAGGTATATGTATTGCTTTAATACTATTTGTAACCATCGAGATATTGTTCATTATGACGTAATGACCTCACAATTTTGTCTCATTGATGTAACTTATTAGATGGTCAATCATCATAAGACTGCTTTTCTACAAGCATACTTAACTTTAGAGTTAAATATCTAAATAATTAATTTAAATTAGTTAATATTATTAGTTTATTTCAAATAGTTTTAATTCGTATTTTCAAATTAAGATTTTTTTTTTCAATAATTATTAAAATCCATTGAAAAGCTATCAGAAATACTTCTTCAAAAATCAGCTAGAAAAGTCGTCGGAAAATTCACCAGAAATCAAAACTATTAGGAAATCCGCTGGAAAATCTGTTAGAAATGTTTCATTGAAATTCGTTAGAAAATATTTCGCCAATAATGAATGATCTTTCTGTAGTGTATTCCAATATGATTTATTACTTATTCATCATTTTCAGTTCATGATTATATGTATCTCAATTTATTAAGCACCGTGCTTGACGAAATTGATATACCATCCAAAAATTATCTTGACCGGGCACAAATCTCGAGGCAAAATCAAGTCGGAAACTTTCGAAATTAAATGTGGGATCTTTTGAACTCCAATTTTAGCAAACTTATAGTCAAACTGAACGTCTCAAAAATTTGAACCCAACGACACCAAATTCGAGTCAATCTGAGCCCAAATGGGTCCAAATCAAGGAACCAAAGTGTTGTTGGAAAGTTCGAACCTCAATTTGATTTGTCAAACGGTTTCCAAACATGACATGTGGCTCGACAAGCAAGTCCAACAAGCATAAGATCATTGAATTCCGATATCATTAAGACGTTCAAATGCCCAATAAACGGTCCACGATCAAGGGATTAAACATCAATCGTCCATCCAAACTACTCCTAAAATACCATTGATCTTCCATCTATTTACAAATCATGCCACTCTAGACAATCTATAAATAGAGCTCCCTTTTTCATGAAAAAGGACCCAAGCCAAATGAAACAAGAGAGAGATCGAAGATCACTCTTGTCTCTTTGCTTCTTGTCGACCACCGCCCAGAGTTCCGCCGGACAATCACGCGACGCCCAGAGTTCTGTTGGAACACCACTTAACGCCGGAGTTCTGCCAAATCCCCACGTGACGCCTGGAGTTCCTTCGGACCACCACCTAACGCTGGAGTTTCGTCGGACTACCAATCGACGCTGGAGTTTGCCAGACCACCAACTGTTCCCCAGACTTCGATCGGACCACCACCTAACGCCAAACTTCTGCCGGACCACCACCAGACCACCAACTGACGGTCGGACATCCGCCGGACCACCGAGTGACATCGTATTTTCATCCCCGCTTGTCTCTGGACTAAATCATACGGTTGATATTTGTAATATGATCGCCCTTAAGGATGAGTCAGCCCACTATACTAAACACATATTCTAATGGAATCATTTTCAACTGGGCTAGGCCCCGTAATTTTTCCCCCTTCTAGGGTTTTCTACGTAAAAAATCGTGTGTTATCTGTGAGTGAGTTGGATATTCATTTAACGCTAAGACGTAGCACTATAACTCTATTGTCACGTATATTATAGCCTGCAACAGTTTGACGCCATCTGTGGTAACTCTAATCCCACTATCCTAAGCACCCCTTCGATGGCCAACAAACGTAGCAATTGCATCTTGGGAGCCTCTCACTCCAACTCATACCATTCCAGGAATCATTCCATGAACCAGGGACACCATGCGTCGGT